TTAATCGGCAAAGAAGGTCCTTTAAAGATACAGTAAAGCGGAGCTGAGTGGCTGAAGTGGGGCTGGATGTGGAAGCGGCGGTTTGTATGACAAACCTTTCTTCCACATCACAGAAGAGTTGTGGCGAGGTCGGCGAATGGCTATTTGTACAGCGGCAGGTGCGGGGACTAAATTAAAGCACACAAAGAAAGAAGGGACCTGCCAGTGCAGCGCTTCCTCTGAAAGATGAAAGGGAAAAATGGTGGCTTCCCGAAAGAGGAAATATGACTTGCCAGGGCGAATACATGCTGACTCCCATTCGCTGTCAGATTGTGTAGATTCCACCATCCAGAATCCTCTGCAGCGGTGCGTGTACCCTGCTGATAGCGTTAGCGGCAAGAACTCTAAGTGTGTTTCTGTAGAGATGTCCCCATTATTTAAACAGAGCCGGTATAATGAGTGGAGTGAGAGGTAGAGAGAGAAATGACACTAGAACTTGGAGAAAGAGCTGGTGGGTGTTTAACTGTAGTCATGCTGTTGGCTTATCACATGTGATCATACATTCTCACTTACACCACACTCCAAAACATTCCCACTTTTTGAGCACATCCAAGAACAAACCTTCTACTCTGGTGATGATAAATGTATCATGATAACCATAGTTTCTACCAAAATACTAGTCTCAGCTTCAGACAGACCACCCACTTCACTGACCATCTGATCCATATTGCACTATTTGGCATATGTTTTTAGCCATCGAAGGTATACTATAATTTTGTCAGTTCATGCATTCCCTTATCATCCTTTTTGCTGTTTTACAGTCTATTCTTGTGGATAAACAACACGCAAACACTAAACAGATCAAGAACCTGCAATGTGAACTGGACCTTGTGCTAAAAATCAAAAGTCTGGCTACATGAATACCAAAATCCAGTCTAAAATGTAAATTTCTTATTTGGCTAACCTTCTGGCAAGGTTCAATGGTAATAGAATGTTTATTCAAAGTTATCTGGTCTTTCATAATGTTCTCAAAACGTTGGCATAAAAGCATTATTAATTATATATACCTCATATACATTTGACTAACATTTTTTAAATGTTACTACTTGTTTCATAATATTTAGAGAACATTCAAAAGTAGCATTCCCATAAAGTTTGAAAATGATCAAATGGAATGTTTGCATGAAAAAAAACCAAAAAAAAAAAAAACATTTGGACGTTTTGAAGGTTCAGAGAACATTCAGAAATTGTGTTTTCATAACTTTACATTAGCAAATGTCAGAACATACTTACACACACACACACACACACACACACACACACACACACATATATATATATATATATATATATACAGTATATATGTAAAAATTTTTTTTTACTAAAATACATTTATGCATTTGGCAGACATTTTTATCCATAGCCATTTGTATACATTTTATCAGTTCAGTGCAAGCAATAACTGTGGAAACTGGTATTTTGCGAGTACATTTATACCAGTAAACTCGGATCACACCAAGCCTTACAAAAATGTACCATGGAAACCATAGTTTCCACCAAAATACCAGTTACCACAACTGCTGCTACTGGACTGCTAAAATATATATCTTGAATGCAATGTAAGTTGTGTATATACCGTATATCTTCCATGTACACTGAACACATTGTTCTATGTGTAAAAAAGTAAATATGTTATAACGAGTCATATCAAAAAAAAATAAATGTGCTATAGGGAAGCTTGAGGACTAAGTCATTTTTATCAGATAAAAACTAAAAACTAAATAAATAAATAAAAATAAAAATCACAAAGTTAGAACTTTAGTTTTTATATGTCTGGAGCTCCGCTTCCCCTTTTTTCCCCTTCTTTCTTTTTTTAAATGTCCGAGTCAACCAAAGGTTACAGATAATGATGTTTCCATGCCATCCTCGGCTATCCATCTTATGGTCATAGCTCACCACACCTGAAAAAAAGACAAAAGAAACCAATAGAAAGAAGCTGTCAAAGACCCAATGTCACAGATCCTTTGAGTCTCACTTCACAAGACCCGTGTACTGGGGAAAAATCGGCCTCTGGAATTCCAATGCACTTGTTTGGAGCGAAAATAAACAGAAGGTGAAAAGGGCACGTTCGCTTCAGTTTCTGTTGATTTTGAAAGCGCATTTATTCGTTATACAATACGATTGGGAGACCAAGAGTCACATTAAAGAGCTATTAACGCAGTTGTGTAACGGTTAACTCTCAACTCCTGTGTGTGTGATACATGCATGATGTTCTCTCGCTGTCATAGTCTTTCCGTCTCTCCTTCTTTCTCATGCACAAGGTAATGCCACTGTCAGGGCTTTTAATGCATGCATCATGGCACTAATTTGCTCGTCCATAATAAATGAGAGCACTCATGTTCTCTTCTCTGTGTAGTACAGTAGCGAACTCGAGCTCAATGCATCATGGGCAGTCAGGGGAGAAGAGCCTGCCTCACCAGTACTCACTGGAGAACCGCGGCCCCAGGGCCCCCAGCGGCCCCCATACCGGCAGCAGTGGCGTCCGCCTGCCCTAAATTGTATGTCCTCTCATTATCCCAGGGCTTATTCATCACTATATGGCAGGGACGCCCAGTGGGACAGGAAGATCACTGCGAACTGAGGACAGAACGTCCTCTAGTAAAGGACTCATATGTGCAGTGATTTTGTGCCTAATAGATGGTCGTACGTTGATAAATATCAGTTCTCCTCTGTCGAGTGGAGGCGGGTTTTGATGACCTGTGAAAGCGTCAAACTTTTCGTCAATGTGTTGAAAAAATGTGACAGTGAGGGAGAGTTGCTGTACATATGCACTTTAAAGTACAGGAAAAGGAGCGTGAAATAATAACACTGTTATTTCGGGAAAGCTGACCTGTTTTAAAATACAGAAATCATTACTTTAAATAGTAATGCAAGCACATATGATCTCTAAGCATGCACCTGAATCACTCAAACTAGCTCATTAGCCTCCTTAAAGTCAGCATAAATTTGCATTCGCAAACCATTTTGCACTGTAATATGATATTTCTGACTGAAACAGGATATTTAGTGAGAAAAGATGTTACTTAACACAACATATTGTTATTATTATTATGAAAAGAATATTTATTTATTTTGATTTTGAAAGCATGAAAATATCAGCATTACTGTTCTGTAATGCAACTATGTAGGGGTATTTTTGAGTTGAAAGTGTATTAAAAATATCAAATAAAACATGTAAAATCTAATGTTTTTAATATTGTACATATTTGAAATAAACACACACACACACACACACACACACACACATATATATATATATATATATATATATATATATAAATTTGAGTTAATATATAAAATATATATTTATAAATATAAATATAAATAAAAACATATAAATAAAAATAAAATGATAAAATATAAAGAATTAAAATATAAATAATAAAATATAAATAAAAATAAAAAACTGAGGTGAAAAGTCATGTGTGGTGAGGGGTATCTATTGAGCAAACTGGGAGTTTCTACATGTTTGTATCTGAATACATGAGGTCCAGTGGTGTTGATATCTTTATGTGATATGAGATCAGTAGTTGCATGTTTGTTTTTGTAAAAACAAATGCCTTGTCCATCTTGAAAGTGAACATAATCATGAACTAGCTCAAACTAGCATGTTAGCCTCCTTAAAGTCAGCATGAATTGGTGTCACAAACCATATGATGAATTTCTGAGAGAAACAAGATATTCAATAAGAAAAGATGTACAAACTAGAATGGAGCCAGACCTAGTTTGCTAAAACAGTTTGGTTAGTTTGCCTAAACAGCTGTTTGGCTATTGGTTAACAATTTAAAAACCTAAAGCCTAACGTAAGCAAGGAAGAAAAAATCCAGTAAGAAATTAAATAAGGTCAATTTTCATTTCACGTTGACTTCAAATCAAAGTTCAGAGTTATTTGAAAACTGCATGATAGAATGGAAGTGCTACAGTCAAAATACTTTGCATTTATCATTTTCCACCTATTGTTAAAGGCCCTTGAAACTAATCAGACTGGCCAGGTCTGTTTGATTTGGATCATATAGGTATTAAGACGATTGCCCTCTAAGTTTACTGTTACCGTAGGAGATCAATGATTTGGTTATTGGCAAACTACCTAGATTCCCTTTGGGCTAAACTAGTCCAGTGGAATGAAGCCGAGTGATATTTTATTGATTTTTTTTTTTCAACACACCACTATCCCATAGGCTTTTGAGTCACCTTATGCATCTAATTTTATACTTATAAATAAGAGATGAAAATGAATTGAAAACTAGTTGCAGATTCAAATTCAAATTTGAAGGGAATCTGTGTGCCAGACATGGGTCTAAATGATAGCGGCATGTTTATTTAGCTTTTTTGTTAATTATGCATGCAGTGTTGACAGAACGTCTCAAAAACTGCATCATCTGAGTTAGATCACATTTAAAAGTCATAAAATCATATAAAATCCTTACCCTCAGATCTACAACAGCATGGAAATTAGAAATATATGCCTACTCAAACTGACCGAATGTCGAAAGGAGCCAAATGTGAATTCCCAGAGATCATGTAATATGTTACATTAACAATGTTTGTTCTACCCTCGATTTTGCATGATTAAATTTAAGTAATCTCACAATGGACTATAAACAGGAAGTTTACACCTTTATAGCGGCAAGTCTTGTTTGCAGTTCACAGACACACACTGGCAGGGCCTCTGGTTTATCCTCAGCAATCCTTGCATGTGGCATTTGGAAAGCAACAACTGTGAATTGTTCTTCATTTTAAACCTTGCTTGTGGCCTATTGAGAAACATTTTGTTACGTAATGTTTGAAAGAATTGCATTTTAATTAGTTTGCATCTACCTATGAGCATAGTTAACATTATTAGTTAACAAGTTATTAATTGAATTAGGTATTATAAGTAGCAAAACATTTACTATGTTAAAATGTAATAATTTAATATAATATATATATAAAGGACTTTTATGAGAAGTACTTCCTGAGGTGAAAGGTCATGTGTGGTGAGGGAGTATCTACTGAGCAAACTGTAAGTTTCTACATGTGTTTGTCTAAATATATATGTTTTTAATTTTAATTGTGAAATGGCAGTGATGCCAACATTGGTGTTGATGATTTCTTTGACATGAGATCATGTCAGCATGCTAGTAGCTAGTAGCTATTAGGTGTAAGACATCAACAAAATAGCAGCCTATGGTAAAGCATACATATTCAATCCTACGCCTATACAGTTAGCATGACCTTGTATAAAATGAGAAAGAATATAATGAATATTGCACAGTAGGTGTAATATATTATTGATGAGATTAATTTTCAACAAGAAAAAAAACAGATGGCAATGTCACTGCAATTATAGAACAACCCAATTGTGTTTTTAACATAAATACTTCATATTTTACTTAATATCTTAGTGTGTATGTGGGTTATTGATTGTTACAAGAAAATAAGAAAAATAGCTATTAATATGTGATTGTTGTAAATCAAACAGAGAACTTTTGCAACTATCAAAAAACTGGGGAAAGCCATAACATACTAAGGTTAGAGAACTGTATAGCATTTGAAAGGTTTTTGGTTGGTGGTTGTGCAGTGTTCTCATTAAGTTATGAAAACTTGGTCTGGTAACTTAAAATTAAGCAGGTTCAAATCCAGCCTGGCACCTTAGGTTACTTGTGCTAGATACCCATTGTTTTGTTGTTTTTAATTTTGAAGATGTGTGTGTTTTTTTATTACATTATATCCATCAGGGTGCTGTTTGTAACTGGTGTAGAATTCAGTGGTTTATACCATAGAAAACACTGCAAGTTTCTGCAAGGACTTTTCTGTTTGTGAGAACCAAAACAAAAGTCGTATTTTTAACATGTCAATAGTAAGTTATTATTTGATACCAATCAATTATTATTAAGAGAGCAATCTTCTTTTCTCTTGGGATCAGTTTGATGTTGCCAGAAGTGATGACTTTCGATTCAGCCAGTGAGAGTGTTATTAACTCAGTAATCTGACCGATTGATAACGCATGAGATTGATGCAGGCCAATTTGCAAATCGGTTCTATTGATTCATTAAAAACAACCACTTTAAAGAACAATTTAAACTTGTGAATCTGACAGTCATTAGCTCTGTGGCATCAGATAGATTGTAGAAATCCAAATTATAGCTTCTGCAGTATATGTGGTGTGTATTTGTATGAGATCTAATGCAAGTCTTATTTTGCAGCTGCCTATGTTTGGCTAAAAGATTTATTCTTTTTTTTTTTTTTTTCAGTTCAAGAGCATGTAAAGATACTGAATTTCTACTATGTTTTCATAGCTTTTTATAGATATTAAAATGTGTCTGTCTTGAAAGTCGCAGTCTTTTTTTGTATAGAGGATATGTTTCCATTTCTAAGGAGACAGAGACAGATGATGTGTTAAGGGAAGCCCCTGGGAATGAGACATCAACAATATGCTGAAACACGAAAAGCTTTGCTTGTTTTAAAGGATTACAAACTACTGCCTCGTGTTAACTCTATTTTATGTGGTTGTAACAATGCCATGAATCTAATATTGAGCTCATTTTGTAAAAATGCATCTCTTGAAGCTGTGTCATGGTAACTTGCCATTATGACTCATTGGGCGTTCACACTTTGATTACCAAGTTTCTGTGCTGTTGGTTGCTTTTGTTCATACTCTACTGCTAAATCTAAAGTTATCAGGCGGTGGATCACTATCTGCGCTCCGATTTTGCAATCTATGCATGGAGAGCAGTCACTATTGTTCATGTTGTCTCAGATTTCCAGCTCTCACAAAAAAATTTATATTAAGAAACGTTAGCACTTATGTGCTTAATGTGGAGTGAGAAAGTCAGAAGTTGTGTCCCAAATGACACACTATGCACTTATATTATGCACTATGTACGCTACTGTGTTGTGCATGACCTTTATAGTATTATTTTGTCATTTGGCTTCAGAGTTCAGGAAAGCTACAACAGTTGAGTGTATTAAAGGGCCAGTCACACTACACTTCCATTAATATACATGGGAATTTGGACAGGAAACACAAGCTCATGCGAATTTTGCTGCATTCAGAAGTTCAAGTTTGGTGAACTTTGACCTGCGAATCACATGAACACGTGTGACCAGTAGAAGTTTGGCATGACCTTTAAGCTGAATTAAAAGAAAGTTAACTTTAAATCTGCAAAATTGCTGCGTTGCTGTAAAGTGGAGTAGATTGCATCTTTTTACATTTTGAAAGTACTATATGTTAAATAATGTTTTTTTTTTTAAAGACGCTACAGAAAATGGTGTCATATTACAACTGTTACAGAGTTCGTAGAAATTTTGCATGCTCAAAGTCTAGTGTGAATGACTTATGTGTCTAGCATTACACACATCATTTGTTTAGTTAATTAAAGAGCAAATTAGACGATTTTCAACAAGCTTGGTGTTGTTACATTGCTGGTAGTATAAGTATGTGTATTATTTATTTGTCAGTAAAATTCTGCGGAATGACATAAAATGCATCATCAGGTGGACTTTTGACAGCTTCAGGGCTTTTGTGAAAACTTGTGAATTCTTCAGCATTTTTGTATCCCCAATCACAGATCAGGCCCAGTGCATTATGGGTATAGACGTTTCAGAATCAGAATCAGAATGAGCTTTATTGCCAAGTATGTTTACACATACGAGGAATTTGTTTTTGTGACAGAAGCTTCCTCAGTGTAACAGAATGACAGTGACAGAACAAAAAAACACAGATAATAAAAAATAAAAAAAAATAAAAAATAGAACAAGTAAAATATACTAATAAAAATATACAAATCGACAATTGTATGTACAGGTATATAACAATAGACAGTTGTATGTACAGGTATATTATGTGCAAATTGAAATGTAGACTGAGTATGTGTGTTAGATAAATAAGTGTATGAGTGAATAAATA